TCTGATTTCTAACCATGTAGATGGTTGGCAACATGATATTTTAAAACAGAGAGGTATAATCATGGCACACCTTGCTTGATACACATATGTTATTTTATTGCCTCATGCTGTGCTTTGATCAGAAAAGGTACCATTAAATGATGACTTTCCTGAGCAGAAACTAGAGCACCTGCATTATTAAAATAAATAAATAAATAAATAAAGCAAGGAGCACTCACATATTTTTACTAGGTTTCTGTTAGTGGTGAAATGAGCATTTTTCTCTTGGAGTGGCAAGCAGAAAATATCATCTGAACTGGATAGTTGCTGTGTTCTGTTTTGATTTTTTGCACGGTAAAAGTAAAATATTTTGCTCAGGACAATTAAATGTCACTGGAAGAAATTCATGTAATATAAGACATGCCTCAGAGAAAAATTGGTTAGGATTGTGGAGGAACTCAAAGTTCTTACAAAACTCGTGATATTTAATGAATGGCAAATAATTTATTTTCAGGCGAATACAGAAGGAACACTCAATTAAATGGGAATGTTGGTAGTTACTAAGATGCATGGAGCATATAAAAACAAAACACCATAATATCCTGAGACTCCTAAGTGGTCCCTAAGCAGCATATAAACAAAGGGCAGCATCACAGCCCAGATGGGGAAGACTTCATTCTAGTGGACAATAAGCATTTTTCCTCTTTAAGAAGTTGTACCTATATTATTAAAAATAAAATTTCAAAATGAAAACAGAAATTTCTATCTTCTTCTTATTATTAGAATAAACATATTAAAGAGGGATTGTTAAAACATATGGAGCAAAAGTGGGAAGACAATAACAGCAATTTCTATCTTTAAGCAGTGTATTGGTACCCTGGAGCTCATCCCTTTCACCTCACAGGGGCATCTCCTCATCAGTTTCCCTCTCTTTGCTGGATCATTGATATACTCCTAAAAGCTGCAGCAATAAACTTAGTCTTTGCAGTTTGGGAAATGTCTTGAGTAGTTCTTCCACTGAGGTTAGTCATACCTCACTGCCCTTGTGGAAAGTAAGTTATAATTCTGCAGACACAGACATTAATTAAGAGAAAATAATAGCAGTGGTAATCCAGTATGTCCATAGAAATGCAGATTATTTCTTGGGGTGGTGGGGGTTTGGGAGAGAGGATGTCTATTGATTGTTCCTCTCTGTGTGTTTACCAATTATGTCCATTTTTTAGCCATTCTCAATTTCATTTTAGTAATTTCTTATCAGCCTAAAAATCTGTCATACTTTGTGTTCTCTTTGAACTAAGCATAGTATCTTGATTTCTATCTTAAATTTTGACTTAAATAAAATCTTCCATATATTTTATTTGTATCAGAACCATAACTTTGTCCTCTTTTTAGATTTACTCTCTGAATAAACTCTCTGAAACAAAACATCTTTTGTTCTTATGTCCCCTCCCCTCCTTCCTCACTTCTGATTTCTCTTCTTCTGTACTCACTGCATCTGATTTTTGTCATCCTGATTGTATTTTAAGGGGAAATCTTTTTCCCACAATCATTACCTGTCCTAGGTGACTGAAGCTGCTCTTATGAAGGTAGTCAGCATCTTCCATCTTGATGAATTCAGGCTTTCACAAAAATTATCCCTCCTTTTTCCCTAAAGACATTTACATTTTCACTTGACCTTGGGGTCACATCATACTCTCCTAGTTTTCATGCTAATTATCCAAAAACCTTCTCTCAATTTCTTTTCTGGGTTTTTGATCACCTCATCATATTATCTATAATGCAATGTTACAGAGCACTGTTTTCTTTAAATTTTGGTTATTGATCACATGCACTCCCAAGGTTTAAAGTGTTCCCAATGTAAGAGAACTCCAGAATTTCTCCAACTCAAGTACATTCGATGTGGCAGGTTCTTTGTGATTGTCAGGGATTAAACTTTTCAAGTCCAAAAATACATTTATGATAATTCAACTGTGTGACTTTAGACAAAATGCATATCATGTTCCGAGTATATGTGTGTATATGTATGTGTGTTGTTATACATATAATCATATACAATTGATATAAGTATAATCATATATGTTGTTATAATAATTGTTCTCCTCATTAGGATTTTGGAGAACTCATGTGTGTTGTCCAGAAAAGTTAATCAGTTTGGCCAATTGAAATTGTATCTAAGCCTCTGACTTTGACATTAATATTTTCAAAACTTTTGCCACATTACCTGTGCACTTTTGACACAATGTTTGAATTAAGAGTTAAAGAAGGGTAGAGGCATTGATCCACCTGGGAGACTAAAAGAACTGTTTTAAAAAATTACTCCTGCCAGGTGCTGTTGTGCACACCTTTAATTCCAGCTACCTGATAGGCTGAGGCAGGAGGACAGCAAGTTTGATGTCAGCCTCAGCAACTTAGCAGGACCCTCAGCAACTTAGCATGATACTCAGCAACTTGATGAAACCTTGACTCTAAATTAAAAATGAAAAATACTGGGGATGCACCTCGGTGGTAAAGTGCCTCTGGGTTCAATCCAAAAAATACAAATAATTATAAACAATAAAATAAACATAATAGTAAATCAGGATAATAAATATAACTAAGACATGAATAAAAATAAAAACTTATTTCTGACAATTAGCAGGGCAATCTGAAGAAATTTATACATTTTTCTGAACTTGCAGATTTTCATTTATAATTTTCTAAAATGTTTTTCTAATGAGTTATGCATGACAATAGTATGTATTTTGATACATCATACTTAGTTATCCCAGTCCTCAGTTTATACCCAAAGGAAGATTTAGAGGATCTATAAAGTTTATTACTCTCTTTATGCATGAATTAACTTTAAAACAACCACTTGTGGGAGTAAGACATGGTGAATAGTGGTATGAATTTTCAATTGAATTATAAGACACAATATTTTTTATTTATTTTTTGTTCTTTCTAGATGTATAGGACAGTAGAATATGTTTTGACATGATATACATACATAGAAAAAAGTATAATTTGTTCCCCAATATCGTGGTTGTACATGATGTGCAGTTATATTGGTGGCATATTCTTATACAAGGATAGGAAAATTATGTCAGGTTAATTTCACTCTCTTTCCTCTTCTCCATCTCTTCCTTGTGTTCCCCTTTGTATAATCCAGTAAACTCCTATTCTTTCCCTCCTTTGTTGTAGGTTAAAATCCACATATTAGAGACAATATTCTGCCTTTGGATTTTGAGGACTGGCTTATTCATTTAGCATGACTGACTACAGATCCTTCCATTTACAAGCAAGTGCCATAATTTCATTCTTCTTTAAGGCTTATAAATATTCCATTGCGAATATAGACCATATTATCTTTATTCGTTCATCTGTTGTAGGACATATCTTGGCCATTGTGAATTGAGCTGCTATAAACATTGACTTGGATGCATCACTGTTGTATGCTGATTTAAAGTCTTTGGGTCATAAACTGGGGAGTATGATAACTGAGTTGAAAAAAAAAGCAGGAAATAATAATGAATTCATTTTGGCTATAGTGGCAGATAAAGCAAAGAAATTTCATGGAAGTAGAAAAGTATGATAGGATCAGAAGATGAGAATGTATAATTGAAAATTCTGTAACATATAACAATTGTTGAAGCACTTTGAATATTAAGTAGCTAATATGAAAATAAACAAATAAATCATAAGGCATAGAATTTGGTAAAAGTTGCTAAAAATGCACTAAAATCAATTAATATTTAAATTTGAGGGTATAATGCAGGGCCTATATCTCTAAGGTGCAACTGTTCACCCATCTTCTTCCCCACTCTGAGCATGAAAATTCCAATGGAAATTTTAATTTGTGAAGCTGTGCAACACAACACAAAGACATAAAAAAGGACAAATAAAGAGAAAGGGACATATAATTACAAATGGAGAGATAAAGGGGCTTTGCACAACAGTAGAGGGTTCTCCCTGAGCCCATATTCTAGACACAAGTGCTGTATTTCTGAATGTCCATGGTAATTTCATCAACATCATTCACTTCAAAGAAAATAGGTCATATCACTTTGGGGTTCATGTCAGTTTTTACATTTTTACTCTTCAGTCTGAGAAAACATGTTTCATCTCTGTACTTCTGGTTTTGTATTTAGCTTTCACAATACCCCCGTTCTACTTGTATTTACCTTAGATTTAGAGGGTTTTTACTACAAATGGTGAACACTAAATTTGTAAAACAAAACTTAATATCTCCAGGCTTTATGTAGTGGCTTTAAAAAAATCTAACAAATAATGTTTTGGTTAGTTTAACAAAGGTAAAAGAAATACATAGTTTAGAATAACTATATATTGTTTAGAATATGAAAAGACCCTCTTACTTGAAAATATGGAATTTTCCAAAGAAAATCCAGTCATAAATGACATGGCCACTTTTGATACCGTGAGCTAATTCCTTTGTCTGTGAGTGTTCAAGAGGACACTTGCTACCTACTAGGAATGCCTTATAGAAGAAAGAAAAGATCCCAGTGAACTATCTGCACTTTATTTATGTTTAATCACAATTTTTAACTGCTCTTATGATCTAAATGTTTTCTCATCAGATAAGAGTGAATATTGATGTGACTTGTAGGTCATGCTCACAAGTATCAGAATGGAACTTGCAGAGAAAGAGTCAGACTAAAGTTGTCAGGGACATTAACAGTCAGAGGTCAAAACACAAAAAAAAAATGCTAAGGAAAGCAGGCTCATGAATTTAGAATGTATAGAAGTAGCCAGGCCCTAGGACCATAGTGGCTGGAAAGAAAGAGAATCTGCAGGGAGAGAATAAATTCTATAACTACATGACTTAATTTCCACAACATCTCTGTCAGAAAAAAAAACAGAAACCATGGAATCCATGTTGCTTTTCATCTAAAAAAATATTAAGAACACACAAACTTATATGAAAATACATATGACTCTCACAATCATCAGAAATAATCATATTTAATATTTGTACAGAATCACTCATATCCTAAACATGTATAAATATGAGATTGGACTTCAACTCATCCCCTGCTTTCTGATGGAGTTTTGACATGCCACAGATTTCTCATGGCGTTTTTCACCTCTGCATTCCTCAGTGTGTAGATGAGTGGGTTGAGGAAGGGTGTGCCAATGGTATAAAATACTGTCACCATCTTGTCAATGGGGAACGTGGTTGGGGGGCGTGTATATATGAATATACAGGGGACAAAGAACAAGACAACAACAATGATGTGAGATGTACAAGTGGATAGTGCTTTTTTCCTCCCTTCTGCACTGTGGTTTCTCAACGAATGTAGGATGACAACATATGAGATCATTAAAATTGTTAAACTGACTAAGCAAATTGCCCCATTGTTAGTCACCAACAGCAGATTTGACAAATAAGTGTCCGTGCAGGCAAGTTTAAACAAGGGCTGCAGATCACAGCAGTAATGGTCAATCAAGTTGGGTCCACAGAAGGGCAATCTCAAGGCCAGGATAGTCTGAGAAATGGAATGCATAAAGGACCCCATCCAGGCAAGGACAATCAAGATGAGACACACCTGCCTCCTCATGATCCTTGGATAATGCAAAGGCTTACAGATGGCCACATAGCGATCAGCAGCCATAAGGATGAGGACAAGTATCTCCATGCAGCCAAATAAATGCAGTGCAAAGATTTGTGTCATGCACTCATTGTAGGATATGACTTTCTTTGTAGAGAGAGCATCCACAATGAGTCTAGGGGCTGTGGATGTTGAATAGCAGGAATCAGCAAAGGACAGATAAAATAAGAAATAATACATGGGGCTTTCAAGTGTCCTGCTGGATTTAATGGTCACAATTACAAGTGTATTCCCCACTACAGTTCCAATGTAGAAAATTAAGATGATTAAAAACACCATTTTCTGCCTGAGAGGATCCTGTGTCAATCCTAGCAATATGAACTCAGTTATGTTACTATTTTGCCACATGGTTTCAGTTGATGTGAGGACATCACAGATTGGAAATAATCTGCAAAGAAAAAAATATAAAAAAAGTAGTAAATTTTGAAGTTAAATATATATTCTCAGTCATGAAACTACAACTTTACAATGGGTGTTTTCCATTAGAACCTCCAATAGGCTCCAATCATTTTTCATTTCAGGTATTTTGTTTTTCTGGATAATATAGAATCTCTAGAAACAATTTCATGCATTTACCAGATTGGATATGACAATGATTAAATAAGATATAGAAAATATAATGAAAAACAAATGCTTCATCAAGCAAATTGAACATTATGGGATTTGGCACGGAGAGTAACTTTCCAAACTGAATGTGTTTCATTAGTCTTCAGCAAGGAACTATCAATACTAGGGTGATGCATTGCAAATCTAAAGAATGCTTAAGCTTGATTTACCTCAATAGACGACGTTCACATTATTTGAACCTGGTAGTCCCATTAAAATAATAGTTATAGAATAAGCATGTTGAATATGTTGAACATTCCAGTAATGATTGTTTAAACATTTGAAATTGTATCTCTTAAAATTTAAGCATTCACACACACACACACACACACACACACACACACACACACACACACATACACAATGCGCGTGCACGTGGGAGAGAGAGAGAGAGAAAGAGAGAGAGAGGTAGAAACAGAGATAATGAATCTACCTCAGTATGCTTTCACCTTACTTGAACCTATTAATGCAGTTTAATATATTTATTTAATAATTATTCTGAACATTCAAAAATGACTTTCTAAACATTTGAGATTGCCTTCCTGAAGTTAAGAGAAGGAAAAACAAAGGAAAACAATAGAAACAATAAATAAAATTTTATGACTAAATAAGACAGTTGCTCTGGTCTATCAAAAGACTTAGTTTAATCTTCTTTTGTTTAACTAAATCAATCACATTTTAATATACTGCTTAAAACATTCTAGTCTTTCTTATGTCCAAATCCAGCATCTAATATTAAATTATGTACTTTTTATAATATTATGTTTTCCAAACTCAAATTCTTATTCTTTATTTTTCTGAATCCTTGAAAATGTTTTCTTAAAACCCCAGGAGACACATTAAAATAAAAGAAAAAGATAAGAACATATAAAACAGAATATTTTTTTTCAAATTTCAACTTTATAACTAAACAATAAGGATTTTTGCAAATGTTAACAATGAATTCTCCAATTCAGAGCTGCAACTTTTAATAGAATTACAATTAATATTGTCAGGTGTTCCATTTTCTGACTTCAAGGAAGAAAAGAGAAATAAAATGGCCATTCATTTATTTTGACTGTACCAAATATGGTACAAATGTCTCTATGAACATTGTCATGTGTGTTCTCCAAATGATAGCATAGTCAAAAGCAAAAGTTAACTCTGAAGTGCATAAAATATATTTAAATATTTCTTGCCAGAAGAAAGCATACTTGCTCCAAATTTAAATGGATTTCACAGGTCAACTTAAAAAAGAAAAAGAACAAACACAGAATTGGCAAATTACCAATTTTAATAGACACTCTGTTCCTTAATACAAAGAATCACAAGGGAGCTTGATTGTTATTCACAAGTACATTCAAATTAAAATTCCAAATTGATATCTTTTCAGCTCTCAAAATAAAACAGTGATTTTTTTAATGAATGTCTTTAAATAAATAGTTAAATACAAAGATGTAGAAAACTGCTAATTCTCAATATTCTTGGTAGAGATTTAAATGGGCACAATCTCTCAGGGGGTAATTTTCAACATTCATAAATAATAGTATTTAGAACAATACTAAAATATATATCTTATAGAACTATATAGCCACTCATGGTCACAAAGAACTTCCTAGTAGCCCTTTCTCTGGAAGTGAAAGATAGGTAGTAATTTAGTGCCTGTATCAGCCTCAGTGAGATTGAATGGATAAGGAATGGTATTATTATGAAAACATTGAAAAATTATACACACACACACTCACACACACACACACACACACACATACACAGGCCTTAAAATACATTCCAAATTAAAATGTAAGAAATCAGAGCAGTGCTGGAGAAGGAGATTGACTTTTTCCACATAAGCAAGCTTTTCTTATGAGAGAATCACTAAAAAAAGTTATTCCTATAGTTGGGCCACAAAGACAGCATAGGATGAAACTCCAAAGTTTAGATATCAAAACATATCCACAGTTTCATATATGCATTTAAATGAAGGATTGTAATACAACCACAAAATAAACTTCTGATATGAAGAAGAAGAGGAGGAGGAGGAGG